ACCTATGACCCCAGTATATACATCACGCCTTCCCATCTACCCAAACCCAAGGTGCTTATTCCAGAGAGCATTGATATGTGCACGATAGATGCACCTCAACCCCAGCCAAAACCCCAAAACCTTGTAGAGGCGGTGGCAACACAAACTCCGGAGCTTTTGATAAACATGAAGGGAGATTTGATTGACTTCTCCAAATAATTGCCTTTTAATAATTGAAGAAGAATGGTGGAGGACAGTGACCTAAACTTTTCCTACACTGATGAAGGATGGGGTGTCAATTCCCCTAATGAAACTTGGAATTCTGAAGAGATTGATCATATTACTAGAAGTGGGAGTTACTTTAAGCCTCCACATCTAGACCTAGCAGAATCATCGAGAAAAGACAAAAAAGAGGAGAATGAGAAAAAGAAAGAGAAAGAGAAAGAGATAGAAGAAGACCTGGTTCTGAAACGATTAAAAAGATGCAGGCAAACATCTCTATATAGGGGCTTCTTATGGCTTCCCGAGAACACCGGCAAGCACACAGCTTCATTGCCCGACTTTATCATCAGCTGCCTCGCTTTATCTTTACTCTCAGGGAGTCCTTGAAGACTCTACCTCGGCATTGGCAAAGCTTTCAAAAGAAATTACTCCTCGTCGGCCATCAAAGTGGTTGTGCGAAGAAACTCCGAATCGAACCGCAAATGTGGCCTGTGATTTCAGTTCTTCGTTCAACCTTTTTAGTGCACTAATTTCTACTCAAGAGTCCTTGTACATACGTTGGAGCAGGGAGAGTTGTGTATTTCACTGATGTACATCAAACGCCTTGTTCTATAGTGGACGGGACAAGTTGGAAACCGCAGTCACGATCTCCACACATGACCTCAACGTATACGAGTTAGCTTTGATGTCAGACTGTGCCACCATTATTTGCTCAACTGATATTGCTAGAAAGCTGAAAACAGAAGAAGGAGGAGGAGCACGCGGTTGAGGTTCAGGGGAGTCGGAATTGGTCATCTCTATCGTGGACTCGTTGAGGTCTGGAAAAAAAGGAAGAGAACCGCGGGAAGAGGCCATGTTAGAAGAGAGTGATGCAAAAGAAAGGGGTTACAGAGTGGTGGCAGAGAAAGTTCCTGCCCCACTTCTTTCTATATCCTTGTTGTGCATCCATATTTCATGCATTTTGATTCGGCTAATTTTGCATTTGTGAATTTAATCAAATCCTATGTGATTATGTGTGCTACCTCATATTCTTGAGATGATTCACATGTCATATCTCAGAAGCCAAATCTTTAGTTGCATCTCGTGTGTGAATTGCATTAGGATTTTGTATTTAAGATCATGCATTTTTGCTAACTTTGTTTTATAGCTGTTTGCTGGACGTTGGTAAATATGTAAGTTTTTATGCTTTAGTATCCCGCTTGTGTGTGTCTTTCTTACTATGTTTAGCATCCTACCATGAGGCTATTTGCTTATTTGATATAACTGTATAAATGCCGATGGATGGAGGTTGTGCCACTTAATTTGGAATAATGTTGATTTTCTTGTTTGCAAACTCAATTTATTTGGATTGTACATGTTCAAAACTCTTTCAAAACTACATGAAATCAAGTTGCTCCAAAATGGGTGATATAGTCTATACTTGTATGCTTCACATAATAATTTTTTAGGATTTATTAAATAATCAGAATATGAACACATAAAGGAAATAAAAATCATATCATGATTAGTAAAGGCCGATCTTTTGATTAGGTGAGCAGGGGTGCTCAATTAATGACCTTCCCCTTTCATACCTAAGGTTCTGAGCTAAGCATCCTTGGTTACGACGAACAGTGGCCTTAGCATGAGTCACGGGTTTCCTAATTTTTCCGAAATAAATATTAGGTGGTGACTCTAAGATTTGATGAGGTAATCCATCTCTAGCAAATGTTTTTGCAATAAAATGAATTTTCTAAAAGTTGTCAAATGTGAACTCTCATTTACGTTTCACATTGTACTTGTGAGACTACATCAAAGAAACCGAGGGTCCGAACTGTTTAACGCGCACGGGTACTCCCCTAGCATGTTACAATGACTTGATTTTCATTTCTTTTCTATCCTAGAAGTAGATCTAATCTACATAGGAGTAGTTTAAACTTAGATATGAGTAGTTTTAATGTACTTTACTTGTATTTGATTGTTCATTCAATCATTTACATCATCTTCTTCTTCTTTCTCTCTTTTTTCTTGTTTGTTTTGTCATTATTTTTACTCTAAGGAAGTCCTTGAATTTTTAAGGCATAGAACCTCAACACAATTGCTTGATCATTGTGTTATTTAGTGAGATTTTAGTTAAAGCTCTGTCGATCTAAGCCTAACAAAAATTTTACTAACAATTTTTGGCACACCCAATGAGACATCGTCCTAACTTTGAGAAAGAAAAAAATGATACAAACAAAATATCAAGAAATTATGTCATCAAGTGGCATGTTTGCATATTGTGCACCCATGGATGCAAACTACCAATAGAGTAGTAATGTTCTAATGGGCATGAATTATTATTGGAATATCTCGTCTTCCATGTATAATAATTGTCAATATTATGATAATGATTCTACCGTCTATTGCTAACATCATGGCATGATAAATAATATGGAAAGAATAATTCGGCGTTGTGAGGATTAAAGTTATTAGTGCAATAGTGAAATTTTGGCTTTACAAGAAGAAATTAATTCTCTTGATTGGCAAAAATTTCAAATAATTTCATCACTGCCATATTATTTGATGCAAAAAAATATAAATTACTTTGATGAAAAAACTCGTCAACTTAGTTGTTGATTTTATCAAGTTGATGGAGAAATTCAACATTGGAGTTAAAAATTAGAGAATCTAAAAAAACACAAGTTTTATGTATTTCTAAGAGGTGTTTCCAAGCAAAACTTTCTCTCCACAAATATCATGGCCAAGGAAAAATTAAGTTATGAAAATGGCAAGTTTGAGGGGCAATATTTTAAGCCATTAATTAAAAAAGAGGACCAACTTTTTTTGCTATTGAGCATTTTAATCAATTGGAGGATACGGTTTTAAGTCAACTATGATAAAGAATGTTGAACAACCATTACAAAATAATGGTGAATATTCAATTAGAAAGTATAATTTTAAATTTGATGAACAACCATCACAAAATGATGATGAAAATCCAATTGGAGGGCGTGGTTTTAAGCCAAATATGGCTAAATTTGATTAAAAAAAAATCACAAAATGATTGTGAAAATTTAATTAGGGGGTATGATTTTAAGCCAAACATGACTAAAAATTATGAACATTCCACATTTGATGAATTTGAATTTTTTGACATTATTAATTTTGTCAAAAAATTTTATTTTCTAAAGTCAATTGACATTATGATTTCTGTCATCTAATAACTACAATGGCGTTGTGGTTCATATCAAAAATTAATTTTGATAAAGTGATTTACAAAAAGAAATTCTGAATTTTATTTATATTTTTTATATAACAGTAATAAGAGAGTATTTAGATGTAACCACAACAAACAAAAAATTATATATATATGGCTAATCAATTATAATTTTCATAGTTTCTCTTATATATTTATGTTCATACAATTCATCAAGAATTTGAATACTCATTCTTAAAGAGTTGGGGGCATTGTTTACATTATAAATAAAAATTTTATAGATTATAACTAAGTTTAAACTTTATAATTATTATTATTGTTATTATTATTATGATTATGGAGGAAAATATTGAAAGTTCCGAGAAGTTAGGTCAAATTTTAAATATTCAAAGGATAGAGGATAAGTGGCAATGTAAGAAGGTAGAAGTTATATGAGTACACTACAAGAAATGTCACTTTTGGCTACCAAAATATTGGTCGCCAAAAGTCTAATATTTAGTCGCTGAAACAATTTAGCGACTAAAATATTTTGTCGCCAAGCTCGTCGCCTTTACCTTGTTGGCGATAGTATTGGCGACTAAATTTCGTTTGGTCGCCGAAAGTGACTACATTTGGCCACTAATATTAGTTTAGTCGGCAAATGTTATGTTTCCGCCACTGTGGCAATATAAGAAGGTAGAAGTCACTACAAGAAATGTCACTTTTGGCTACCAAAATATTGGTCGCCAAAAGTCCAATATTTAGTCGTTGAAACAATTTAGCGACTAAAATATTTTGTCGCCAAGCTCGTCGCCTTTACCTTGTTGGCGATAGTATTGGCGACTAAATTTCGTTTGGTCGCCGAAAGTGACTACATTTGGCCACTAATATTAGTTTAGTCGGCAAATGTTATGTTTCCGCCACTAAAACCTTTAGTCGCCGAATGAGGCTTTTTGGCTACTAAGTTGTTGTGGTCGGGGAAGGTGTCACCTTCAGCTACTAAATAATTAGTCGCCAAAAGTACACATTTGGCTATGAAACTGTATTTAGTCGGCAAAAGGTGCATTCGGCGACTAAAGTGTTCGTCACTAAAAGTTCTACATGAAAATTTTAACCAACTATTAGAGACTAAATATTTTGGTCACCAATAGAATACATTACTTTTTGCCACCAAATGTTTTAGTCGCTAAATGATACCCTTTTTTTTCCGTGACTAAAAAATTTAGTGGCCAATAGTTTCTTTCTCTCATTCTCAATTGTTTTCGTTACTAACTATTTAGTCACAAAAAAAATTTTGGTTATGTTTTTGCTACTAAATTATTAGTCACCAAAACATTTGATTACATATTTGGCTACCAAAATATTTGGTGGCCAAATACTTTCTTTTTTTTAAAAAAAATTCTAAACAACCTGTATCCATTTTTAATACAACCTGTATCCTGTATAACCAATATAATCCATCAAAGCTAAATATATTATCAACCATTCAAGCATTCAACAATGTGCACACATTTTAGCTCCAACCATCCAAAACATTAATATTGAACGTCCAATTGTATATATAATACAAATTCCATACGAACCAAGTCTAATCTAACGTCAATAATTTCATTTCATACATAATACAGGACTAACCAAATTAATTAACAAAAAGGACATATGTACCACAACCAAAATTAGCATATATGCTAATTTCTACCATGCCAAATTAGCTTAGATTCCAAGTGCTTTTCCCCATTGGATTCATTTGAATTAGTGCCTTGCTCGACATCAAAATCCTCGGTTCTATCCTGCAGTTTTAGCAGCTGCCATCGCTTTGTTGTGCTCTGTCATTCCTTGATTTAATTTCTTCACCATAGCTTTAGTTAAATCATCTATGGTTCTCAACCTGCACATCATCAACCATAGAGATGCCAACACTATATCAAGTGTCAAACATAAACAAATAAATAAAGGAAGGAACCTCCATAATCCAGAAGGGGAAGAAAATGGCATAATGTCAGAATGCTCATCAATACTTTGTTACTTCAACAGGTAAAGTATGTAGCAAAAATCTAAATCTTGGTTGTCCAATACCCATCACGTAATATCGAACACGATGGATTTTGTTGTAATCATCTATACGCAATTTGTTCATAAACAGGAATGCGTGTACATTGAGATACCTCCTAGTTCATACCCTATATCATATTGACTAAAAAGGTGAAAGAAGACCATTGGCTTTGTGGCCAAAGTGGTAACAACAAGTGCAGTCCTATCCTTGGTAAGGCCAAGCCGTACAAAGGTGTGTTTCTTATAAAACTAGCTAAATATGAGGTTCTTGAAAGTGCCAAAAAAGAAGGATGAAATAGGATAAAAAACAATCCTTCCTAAAAATCAGAGTACGGCTTCAAAAGCTCGTTCATAATTTTGCCAGATTTTCTATTGTATATACCGAGTCATTCTTCTGAAAGGCATCCATCAACAAGACGCTCCTAACACAAGAATAACTGGTTTGAAGAAGCAAAGAAGCTCTCTATATCTATTGAACCAATCAAGACTAGGAGAGAAGGGGGGGCAGAGAAATAGCTCCATCACAAAAGTGGTCTTTCACAACCACAAGTTCAAAACAAATTGTTCAAGCTGACATAATTATAGTCGATGCAAAAAAATAAGGCTCCATTGAAAGAAGAGTCATGGAAAAAAAGAAAACCTACATTATTGCACTAAACAAGGAGCTCTCAACAATTGTATCACCTGTTCTTTCCAGATTTAACCTCACTTCCAAGTTAGAGCCACTTTCCTTGACAAAGTACATCCAACATAAGCACCACAAGTTAACTAAACTAAAATGTGAGATCAGGAACTGGGATTCTGTAGCCCAATTTCATTGAGGCATCTACTTCACCTCTAATACATGGCTCTTTCCTAGGTTTATTTTTGAAAAAGAACACCATATTTGCATTATCACCAAATTGGCCAAATATTTGAACACTTGATATGTCCTTTCCATGCTATGTTCTACCAAGACTTGTTTGTCCCACCACCAAACGCTTGTCATAGTTGGGGTTATGCATTGGAGTCGATCAAGCCACCTAGAATTGGTCTAAGATTATTTGACCACTCCTATGGGTTCCTTCCTAGCTCTCGGGAATTTCATTGGTTGACCATCCTACATGGTTTGGTCAACCAAGTGACCTTACTCCAGCCTTGCTCGACCAACCTCCAATGGGTCAGCCCAAAATGGCCTTGCCTTGGAGGGTTCCTCATCATGAAGAAAAAGTATTTTGCTGGGATTGGATCTTCTTTAGATTCAGATAATAATACAACAAACTTACTAATACAAGAGCTATTTTTCCCTTTTTAAAGTTACGTCATGTGCTACAAAAAGCCTGAGAAGAGTTGCTCATAAGTTGTAATAATACATAGTTATCATTATGATTTATAATGCATTCTTCTGTATGATATTTCATTACCAAATGAGGTAACCCATTGAAGTCAATTATCAAGTAATGTAAGTTGGCAAAAACAAAGTTGGGACATTATAAATGTTGGGTTTAGTTCAAATGCGCAAAATGTAGGACAATTACAAACTCTACTATTTATTTTAATCTCCAAATAAAATAATTAGTGGAAAGTACTAATTACCTTATCAAAAACAGGTACAATATTCTTGTTCAAATAGTTGAGAAACCTATTACTTGATGCACCCCTCTGGAAACCCAAAAAAAAAAAAAAAAAGTTAAGGTGGACAGATAATCATATAATCCACTAAATTTGGTAAAATTGATTTCAAATACAGTTTGTACCGTAAAAAATGGAAGAGCCATATGCAGGCAAGATATTAATCTATCAATGTGGTCACCATCTGAAACCTGCAGCAGCAACCGTTGTTATACCATATATGCAAGACTGAAAAGTTGTCATATATGCGTGGTCCTTCGTATTTTGAAATAAGAAGGGATGTAATAATCAATGACAACAACACTCAAATGATACAAAGCATGACCCTCCAGTTCAGCCAGTAACTTATCTAAGATTAAATCATGATAATTGGCACGCAACTATTGATTTCTTACATATAAATGTCAAATTAGAACACACACCGGTTGTTCCAATTTATAAATTAAGCCAGAGGCCCAAATAAATGCAAGTATTTAGAAAAACTCCTTTTTAACAGCAAAACAGAATGAATTGATGAAGAATATTCAATAAATTGAACGTTTTGTTATAAATATGTTAAATAGTTCAATTTTCCAAATAATGTGTTACAATTTAATGTGAGAGAGAGAGAGAGAGAGAGAGAGAGAGAGAGAGAGAGTTGGCTCAGTGTTTACCAAGTATGGGGATACATATCCAAACTTCAGCAAATACTTGAGTGTGTTCTGAACTAAAAGCCCAGCAACAATGCCCTACAAACCAATTCAAGTCACCAGGTGTCAAAATGGCAGCAGAGGAAATGGATAAATGACAAATTTACATGGTCCATTGGCAGCACAATCAACTATTTAAAAATCAAATTTACTTGTCTCGACATGTATGAAGAAAGTAGCATAAAATTGGAAAGGTAACAAATTGCTCGAGTACTAAAGGCATCAAAGAATAAATTATGGATGACAAAAGCAATGTTGCAGAATAAGCATGTCAAATTTCCATTGCAAATCTGCATCTACAATCCATAAGAACATTTGTACCGAGGAACAAAAATCTTTGCCATATTTAAAAGTCAACCCCCATACTGAGAAAGAGGAAGATAGAAGTCAAAAGAGCTTGGAAGATGGAGTAAAATCATTACCATGGTAGTAGGTAAAGATGCAGCACAGACCCCTTCACGCTTGAGCGTTCGTTCATCTACTCCAGATGCTACAACCTAGAGAAAAAGATAAACCCAACGTTCACTTTTGATTTAACAATTCATCAATGTGTAAATTGTTACAAAAGAAGTGCAATAATTTAGCCTAGTGACCCAGAAACAATTTTCTACTGCATATGTACCATTTTTGTACCAATTAAACATAATCACACTAGCTTAGTTTAACCATATGTAAGTTCAAAACTGCACAACTACATTAAGGTTCCCAATGTAGGGTTATAACTCCAAAATTATCCAAAATCGGAAAAATGATTGAACCTACCAAAGGTGGTGCACATGCAAAACATGCTGTTTCTCCAGGAATTAGCAATTGTATGTGACCTGAAACAGCATCCTCAGACACACCTGTCCATTGTACCCCTTGTATCAATATGTCGTCAATGTTTCACAGGCGAAGCACAAAAATTCTTGCATGTGATTATCGCAAAGAAGTACATCATAAGCTACAATGAAAAAAATAAGGCCTGAAAAACTTGTCCACCATTTGTGTTGGAAATTCCCACATACTGCAGGTGCTAATGCATTCAGGTACAGCCCAAAAAAATAAATAATCTGGCATGCAATTACGAGAAAAAAGAGTGCCATATATATTTTGTGAATAGTGATAACTTTGACTTTTTTAGTAACTTTTTGACTTTTTGTCTTATTTAAGACATGCCAAACCAGGCCTCAATTAATATTACAAGATATCTTAGGAATGTATTTGGCAGGGATTGGATGTTGGTATCCGAGGTTCAGCCTGCAAGGGTCAGCCCAAAGTGGCCTTGCCTTGGAGGGGTTCCACGTCATGAAGAAAAAGTATTTTGCTGGGATTGGATCTTCTTTAGATTCAGATAATAATACAACAAACTTACTAATACAAGAGCTATTTTTCCCTTTTTAAAGTTACGTCATGTGCTACAAAAAGCCTGAGAAGAGTTGCTCATAAGTTGTAATAATACATAGTTATCATTATGATTTATAATGCATTCTTCTGTATGATATTTCATTACCAAATGAGGTAACACATTGAAGTCAATTATCAAGTAATGTAAGTTGGCAAAAACAAAGTTGGGACATTATAAATGTTGGGTTTAGTTCAAATGCGCAAAATGTAGGACAATTACAAACTCTATTATTTATTTTAATCTCCAAATAAAATAATTAGTGGAAAGTACTAATTACCTTATCAAAAACAGGTACAATATTCTTGTTCAAATAGTTGAGAAACCTATTACTTGATGCACCCCTCTGGAAACCCAAAAAAAAAAAAAAAAGTTAAGGTGGACAGATAATCATATAATCCACTAAATTTGGTAAAATTGATTGCAAATACAGTTTGTACCGTAAAAAATGGAAGAGCCATATGCAGGCAAGATATTAATCTGTCAATGTGGTCACCATCTGAAACCTGCAGCAGCAACCGTTGTTATACCATATATGCAAGACTGAAAAGTTGTTATATATGCGTGGTCCTTCGTATTTTGAAATAAGAAGGGATGTAATAATCAATGACAACAACACTCAAATGATACAAAGCATGACCCTCCAGTTCAGCCAGTAACTTATCTAAGATTAAATCATGATAATTGGCACGCAACTATTGATTTCTTACATATAAATGTCAAATTAGAACACACACCGGTTGTTCCAATTTATAAATTAAGCCAGAGGCCCAAATAAATGCAAGTATTTAGAAAAACTCCTTTTTAACAGCAAAACAGAATGAATTGATGAAGAAGATTCAATAAATTGAACGTTTTGTTACAAATATGTTAAATAGTTCAATTTTCCAAATAATGTGTTACAATTTAATGAGAGAGAGAGAGAGAGAGAGAGAGAGAGAGTTGGCTCAGTGTTTACCAAGTATGGGGATACATATCCAAACTTCAGCAAATACTTGAGTGTGTTCTGAACTAAAAGCCCAGCAACAATGCCCTACAAACCAATTCAAGTCACCATGTGTAAAAATGGCAGCAGAGGAAATGGATAAATGACAAATTTACATGGTCCATTGGCAGCACAATCAACTATTTAAAAATCAAATTTACTTGTCTCAACATGTATGAAGAAAGTAGCATAAAATTGGAAAGGTAACAAATTGCTCGAGTACTAAAGGCATCAAAGAATAAATTATGGATGACAAAAGCAATGTTGCAGAATAAGCATGTCAAATTTCCATTGCAAATCTGCATCTACAATCCATAAGAACATTTGTACCGAGGAACAAAAATCTTTGCCATATTTAAAAGTCAACCCCCATACTGAGAAAGAGGAAGATAGAAGTCAAAAGAGCTTGGAAGATGGAGTAAAATCATTACCATGGTAGTAGGTAAAGATGCAGCACAGACCCCTTCACGCTTGAGCGTTCGTTCATCTACTCCAAATGCTACAACCTAGAGAAAAAGATAAACCGAACGTTCAATTTTGATTTGCCAATTCATCAATGTGTAAATTGTTACAAAAGAAGTGCAATAATTTAGCCTAGTGACCCAAAAACAATTTTCTACTGCATATGTACCATTTTTGTACCAATTAAACATAATCACACTAGCTTAGTTTAACCATATGTAAGTTCAAAACTGCACAACTACATGAAGGTTCCCAATATAGGGTTATAACTCCAAAATTATCCAAAATCGGAAAAATGATTGAACCTACCAAAAGTGGTGCACATGCAAAACATGATGTTTCTCCAGGAATTAGCAATTGTATGTGACCTGAAACAGCATCCTCAGACACACCTGTCCAGGGTACCCCTTGTATCAATATGTTGTCAATGTTTCACAGCCGAAGTACAAAAATTCTTGCATGTGATTATCTCAAAGAAGTACATCATACGCTACAATGAAAAAATAAGGCTTAAAAAACTTGTCCACCATTTGTGTTGGAAATTCCCACATACTGCAGGTGCTAATGCATTCAGGTACAACCCAAAAAAATAAATAATCTGGCATGCAATTACGAGAAAAAAGAGTGCCATTTACCTGTTGTCAAAACCTACGAGTCATGAGCCCAATGCTTTAGGGTTTAAGACCAGTGCTTTAATCATGCTATGATGCAATTGAAACAATAAATAGTGTCTTTGGTGTGTTCTAAACTTTTCATAAGCATCTTCTCATAAGCCGTTGAAGAAACCTTTATTTCTTTCTTTCCTTCCCCCTATTTTGATCAATTGAAAGTAAAAAAAGAATTGTGATCCTTTTGTTTTCTAAGGAATAAGCTTGGACTCAACCAAAGTTCTATTTTGCCTTTGTCCTATACTTGTAGCACCTTTCAATTCGACTAAATTACTCCCTAATAAATGAAGTCATATAGATCACATAGAACAAGGTAAGATATTGTACGGGGGCAAAATATCCACTGGTTTCCGTACTCCTTGTACTCTAAGCTTCTCTTGACGACGTCTACCTGGTAACACAGAAACGATGAGCTACCCGGCGGTGGTGTGCCGGAAAGACCCTTCGATGATCAAGTCAGTCCACTTGAGGAAGGAGAAGAGAGATAGAGAGAGAGTGTTTTCTTTTGGGGAAAAAGTTGCATACCTCTAACATTCGCCCTCCTCCCTATTTCAAGGCTGGCCATGCAGCCTCAAGATTATACGTGCACTACCTCTGCTGTCCTTCCCAAGACGGTGGCAGTACTCGCCTCTCACCACCTTACGCGTGTAAAGGCTTAGTCCTCCCAACAGTACACGCAGAACTGCCTAACGGTATTGAGGCATATGTGGAGCAGATGTCCCTTCCTTCGTGCCATTGGCCCAGGTGGCACACCTGACCGTAGTACCACGATCAAGATTATACGTGCACTACCTTTGCTGTCCTTTCCAAGACAGGTGGCAATACTCGCCTCTCACCACCTTACGCGTGTAAAGGCTTAGTCCTCCCAACAGTACACGTAGAACTGCCTAACGGTATTGAGGCATATGTGGAGCAGATGTCCCTTCCTTCGTGCCATTGGCCCAGGTGGCACACCTGACCGTAGTACCACGACCGGCCTATTTCCCAAGAAGAACTATCGCTACAGGCGCTCAATCGCGCTATGCCCCACCGGATTGCCCCTTGGCAAAGGGGCGGCCGGGGGGGGGACGCCCATGGATCGGGCTGGAGTTGTCCGGTTCGTCATGGCATACCGGTTGTGAGGCATGTCGGCCTCCGTCCGGTCTACCTTCATCCAAGGTTCTCTGGAATCTGCCTATCTCGGCTCACCGGTCAGAGACGTACCAAGCCTCGCTTGTCCATAGTTTAGCCCAAGCTATCCGTAGCCCAGTCTCGCCACATGGCTGTGTGCACTGCCGGATATTTGCGAGTCGTAGCTCGGCCAGGCTTAGTTCACGCCGGGCAGCCGGTCTTTAAGACTGAGCAAAACAGATCCTTGTCGTCTTAGCTCGGCCGTACTAACGGTGCAAATCTCCCCTCTCAGATATATATAACAATTAAATCAGATTGTTGGGCTGATATTTTGTAAAAATAGATTTTAAACCACCCCCGGTTTAAACACTTCAATCTGGGCACTACCAAACCTCATAAACAGATGTCAAACACATGAGCATTGTCCAGTTTCATTTGAACATTTTGTCAAACACATGGTGAGCAAAAGGGTCAGAAGACAACAACAAATACAAGCATGGACGAAACAGGCCAAGTAAGAGCAGTAGGTAGAGAAAAACAAACAAGCAAGAGCAGTAGATAGAAAAAAAAACAAACATACTTAATGAGCCTTCCAAATTGACCAAACCATGGCCTCAACATCTTCTTTTCCAGCTTCCCAAATTTAAACCCAAACCCCCAGTGTGACAAATTTAAAAAAGATTATGGTGTAACCCAGTGAACATTCCACCATTCTAGTAATTCAACCCATATCCTCTATATCCAAGGACAATGAATGAACAGATGCCTCAACCTTAACATGGGTCAATTTGGGGTTGGGTTTGGTTGAAGGTATGCAACAGGAAGAAGAAAACCCTAGAGGCTGAAATTAGGGGAATAGAGAGGACATACCTGTGCGATGGCTGTGATGCTCCAATGGTGGATTAAAGGTTGTGCTCGTGTGCGATGGCGGTGATGCTCCGTTAACGATGGAGACAAAAGTGAGAGAGAGAGAGAGAGAAAGAAAGAGAGAGCCGGAGGAGAGCAGAGGCAGACAGAGATGTATGAGAGAGTTAGAGCGTCTGGGAGTGTATTTCTTAAACCTAGTTATTTTCTTTCCCGACTAAAAAAGTTAGTCACCCATAATAAATAAAGGCTTTTCTCCGACGAAATATTTAGTAGCTAATTAATTTTGCCCCCCAAAATCTGAAGTCTAATTTTTAAAATTTTTAATTATAATTGCCGACTAAAATTTAGTTGCTAAAAGTAAATTAAATACTGACTAAATAATTTTCGTAGCCAAAACTAACTATACAGCGACTAAACTATTTTTTAGTCGCCAATTGTAACATTTTTAGCTACTAAAATATTTTTTAGTAGCCAATTGTTGTATTTTTACCGACTAAATTGTGATTAGTAGCCAATTGTTGCATCTTTGGCGACTAAAATATTTTTTAGTAGTCAATTGTTGCATTGTTACCGACTAAATTGTGATTAGTAGCCAATTGTTGCATCTTTGGCGACTAAAATATTTTTTAGTAGCCAATTGTTGCATTTTTACCGACTAAATTTTTTTTAGTCGCCAATAATCAACATTCCCCGACTAAAAGAAATTAGTAGCTAAAAATTTGACTTTTGCCGACTAATATTATTTTTGGTAGCCAATTCCATAACTTTTGGCGACTAAAAGCCATTTGGTAGCCAAAAGTGGTCGCCAAAAATGTATTTTCTTGTAGTGGTAGTTAGATGATGGTTAATAGAAGTTTTTCCTACATTTTTTTTTTCCTATAAATTGTCATTGATAACTCTATTATAAAGACACCAACAAATCAATACATATTTGATTTTCATTTCTTTTTTATCCTAGGAGTAGATCTAATCTACATAGGACTTGTTTAAAACTTAAATAGAAGTAGTTTTAATGTAATTTATTTATATTTAATTGTTCATTCAATCATTTATATTATCGTCTTCTTCTTCTTTTTCTCTTTTTTTCTTGCTTGTTTTATCATTATTGTCACTCTAAAGAAGTTCTTGAATTTTTAACGCATAGAATCTCAATACAATTGCTTGATCATTGTGTTTGTTTAATGAGATTTTAATTACAATTCTATCAATTTAAATCTAATAAAAATTTTGCTAACAAATACTTTAAAATAACACGCGACTATACTCCAGACACCAAATAACCCGTATGTAAAATTGTTGTAAAATTATTTTTGGGGGTTCACTCTTTTTAATTCTATTGTACACCCGTATGTAACATTGTTGTGAAAGTATTTTTGTGGGGTTCACTGTTTTTAGTTCTATTGTACTTCGGTATTATTGTGGATTGTGTTCCTGTTGGCATTTCGTCACGTCAAGACTGCGCATCGGTTTTGCTAATTATAGAAAGAAAATAAAGATTTTATTGAAAAGTCGTTAGTCAAAAGTCGTTAGTCAAAAGTATGACTAATTTGGTCCACGTTAGTTGCTCCCGTACCATTGATAATTTGGACTGGATTTACTCTCGTCCCAAACTAAAGTCTCATCATTTTAATATAATTATATTAATTTTTTTTAATAAAAATAAATAAATTAAAATTAATACAGATAATGTGAGAACAAAAATAAAAATACATTTCAATATAAAAAGATAACAATATCATTTTTTTTTCTATCCTTAGCTATAAAAATACATTTCAATATAAAAAGATAACAATATCATTTTTTTTTCTATCCATGTAGCTAAGGAATTATGAATAAAAAGGGATTTAAGTGTTATATAAATTAAAATTTCAAAGAAATTTAATGTAATTATATCAAACTATAAAATTTGTGATATTTTTTTAAAAAAAAAAAATTCAAAGGAAATCAGTGTAATTTACCCTTTTTATAATACATTCTAAACTTTATTATTAATATGTATTAAAATTGTGT